GCAACGCTCTAGCCCCCACAGTTTCTCAGGATCATGTTTCTAACGGCCAAATATTTTTTGTAAAAAAATGTGTGGAGGAATCTTGCTGTACAACTCTATGGTATGGTAAGAGGATCCGCGAATAAAGCTAAGTTGGACTTTAGCACCCTTCAACTACAGTATAACATACAGTACCTAACGTTGCTTTTATTGATACTTTTTATAGACGTGTTATAACTTTATATCAAATGATTCTGTCAAACATTGTGACAATGGAAAGGGGCGGTTTTAGTAAATTACATTTAACTAAGTGTATGGCTACCCAGCCCACAACTTGTTCACTCTCTTCATGCTTGTTGAGCATTCATGGCAACATTAAAAAGGTAATTAATGACATAAAAAAGGGCCTTGTTATACTCACTGAAACCTACAGCCCCTGTAGTGCAGATTGGCAAAAACAGCAGGGAACTAGCGGAACGACATGGAGCATTTAGCAATTCAGGGTAGGATTTGAATACCCTGAGTCCAAATGAATAATCATGTTGCAACACTTCTGCATGTGTGCAACCACTCACTCACTCACAGGTTCTCGCTATTAACAGAAAGGTGATGAAATGTGAATGTTGTTTTCAATGTTGCACCTTTAAGCACATGATCAGTTTAATATTTACCCCTGCAGGTCTGGTCTGCAATAAAAGGCCAACACCAACATGACAGGAAATGTTGCTGTATGATCACATCTGTACAAAAGAGTGCACACTAGTTGATTTTGTTTATTTGACATAAAGCGAAAGCCTTGTCTTGTTGGCAGAGAGAAAGTGAACACATTGATATTCTTATCGTATCTCTAGGTGGAAACCGAAGCAAACAAAACACACACAGCAGCTAATCAGCAGATAAACTCACTGAGGAGTTATGTCATATATATTGTCGGTTCTTCTGTGTTGCAATACAAATCTGACCAAAGAGCAGTTTACTTCACACATAGTCATTTCTGGATTATGTGGGTGTGAGGCTGACTTAATGTTCAATCAAATGGAAACGTCAGGAGACATAATTCATAGAAAGAAATACACAACTTACAGTCTAACACATTCTTGTCTGGTTGTGAAATCCTTGCAGTACTTCACTCTTCTCATTGTCCCGTGTACCCTTCAAACATTTTTACCTTTTTGTCGTCTTAAAGGCGAAACTCCATGTGAATTTAATCACAGAATTCCCCCCAAAACAAAGCCCATTTGTTTGACAGACGCCTCCCTCCCAACATGTGAAGTCATCCCTCTACATGTGGTATCAAAGAAGAAGATCTATCCAAACTGAGGTCATGAGAAGTGTATTTTGATTGAACGCCATAATTCCCACACCCAAGATGAAGTCATGTGGTAAAATCCAGTGAGGAAGAGGTTTGTTATGATTTCACTCTGTATATATGATGCCCACAGGATGGTGGTCCTGTCTGGGCCCATAGGGGCTGTGGTTGTTATGAATCATAGTAGAAAAGTGGGCTCATTGAAGTAGCTGCCATCCCGACACATAATACGATGTGATCAGAATGCATAGCACTCACATTTAATTAATGCAAGATGGAAGATAACATTTTGCCATGAGAGTTGAGCGCTGTCATCCAGCTGCAAGGAAACTCAAGCATAAATCTTTGTTGAAGGTTTTATCAAAAGAAACGTTGGCAAAAAATCAATATAATATTGGGTATAGCCATTTATTCTTCTTATTAGCCAGCCGTGTCAACAAATGATGTCACCTATATTACATTGGCCTCATTTGTCTACAAGTATTTAGAGACTTTGAGCTTGAATTCTCAACACAGGTCTCTGAGCGTTACCTTGTCATCACATGTTCCCCCCAACAAAGTAATGGCTAAGGTTCCTTCCCATAGTCATGTCTGTCATCAAGACACTGCAAAAAGCTTTATCAACTAGTTGTTCTTCGCAGACATCACCTCAGCTCTCCTGGGTCAACTTCAGTTTTGGGTGTGCTGACAGATGCTAATGAGCTGTCCAAGCAGAGACAGAGAGATCAGATCAGGATGCGAAAACTGGGAACAAGATGTTCCAGGCCTGAAGCCGTAAAGGGAGTAATATCGTGATATTTAAGCGTTGAGCCCAAAGTAAAATGAAGAAGATAGGTTTAGGTAATGTAAACTAGATATATAAGACACAGGTGTAATTTTTCTTTTTGAAGATGTTTAGGCTTTTTACCTCTGTTAATGGGACATTGTTTTAAATGTCACCAACACAACGTCTTGTACAGTCTGACAAACTGTGCTGTTGCCAGTACAGTGCTGTTGTAGTGTCTCAGCACTCATGGGAAGCCTCTTGTCCAGTGACATTAGTTGGTTATGACTGACTTTGTGAAGTACAACTATTCCTTCTATGGTTTAGATAAGACGACTAATACCATTATGATATCTCTAAAGTGTGCAAAGCTAGAGCAACCAGCTAGCTTAGCTTAGCATAATTACAGGAGATGGGGTAACAGCTCGGCACGTAGTCACCTAGTTAGCTCATTGGAAATTATAAATTGATATTTTTAAACTAACATTGACTTTCTGAATGGATTAAAAACAAGACTGAAACTCTTGACTGAAATGACTGAAAGGACCTTATAATTTAGTGTTATTTTGCACAAAATAAAAGACACAGGAATTAGCCTACTGGTCACAATTTCTGTATCTTTATATTGTTTTGCGGCATACATGCAATGGTTAGCACTGTATCTCACAGCGATGAGGTTCTTGGTTCAAATCCCCGTCGGAGAGGGGTTCTCTGTGTGGAGTTTGCATGTTCTCCCTGTGCATGCGTTGGTTCTCAACGGTTACTCCGACTTCTCCCCATAGCCCAAAGACATGCCCATTAGGTTGATTGGTGAATCTCAAATTGCCTGTGAATGTGAGTGTGGCTGGTTGTGTGTCTCTATACGTCCGCCCTGTGACAAACAGTCCAGAGTGTACCCCGCCTCTCGCCCAGTGACAGCTGGGATCCACTCCAGCCCCTGGGACCCCGCATGGGAAAAGCTGTATAAATTATGGAAAGATGTATTGTTTTGTTTTACTCCATACTACAAAATAAAATAAAAATTCTACAATGTCAAACTTGGAGTCATCTTGGACTCGAGTAACTCAACACACGACACCAAATGTCTTTCAAAAAGACCAACAGATCTCAGACTACCACAAAAATACCACAACGCATGTATAACAGGAACACAAGATCACCACAGGAATTCCAATGTTTAAGTACCACAACCTGTTTAATGTGGTTCTGTGCCATAGGATGGGTCTTATAAGGTTGACTGACAACTGTGTCTAATAAGAGGTTTAGAAGTCCAGACTGTAGTAATGGTTTCCTGTCCAAAATGATAAATATAGCCGACATGCATAATTATGGGTTCATGATGAAAATGAAAATTACATCATATGGAAGTTTAACTTGCACAATGTTTTGAAGATTATTTTGCTTATTTTCACCCTTAGGTTTTATGAATGCCATTACTTGAATGCATTCAGTACAACATGAGTTTCACGAAACAAAATTACACCTTCATTAAAGTAGGACACAATAAATTTGTCAATTATTTTTCCGTTTCACTTTTTGGAGGTCGAGTGTAGTATGATAACACCTGAACAATTTATTCTAAATGGATTTGTTTTAAAGTACACATCTGGTTTCACTTTTCAGTAGTTAACTCTGTTGAACTTGTTGCACGATAGAAAGTTGAATAAAAATACTGATTCAGCTTTGAATTATCATCATAGCAGCAATAAATGTTGACCTTACTGTAGACAGCTCATCTCCTGTGGTTTCAATGTGTATGCGTTTTGTCAGTATTACTAAATTGCTTTGGAAATGATATACTCTAAAGTACTTTTGTCTTTGTTTTCCTTCTGATGTTTCAGTAAAAGAGATGACTTACCATCCGAGAAATGTTAATGACTTATGTTTCATTTCCTGTTCTTGCTCTTCACACACACACACACACACACACACAGATACACTATGAAGTTGATGGGAGGAAGTGGCTCTCTCACACAATCCTGTGTTCAGCTTGTAACATATATTTGTTTCCCACAAAAAAATAAGCTTTGAAGGCCTTGCAAACCACAGAAACAACATGTGACTCATATGATTTTAAGAATATTATACACTCAAAATAAGGAACCACCTTTTTTACTGTCTCACACAGTAACAATGAAATAACAACACCCCATTAGAGAGATGGACGTTTGCTAATGATGTATTCTTAATTGTCATACATAGTTTGGTCTCATTTGTGTTTAGAAAGTGACTTTGCAGAAACCTCTTTACAACAGTTGTGTACCCTCCCAGTGGTGTTTCTGTATGGGTCCAAAGTGCTCTCTCAAGGTCAGCCATAGGGGGAGACAGACCTGCCACTCATCTGCAGAACCCTGGGGGGGAACGGTATTTCCATCCTAAGCTCTGACACCAGTGACCCAGCGTGGGTCATGAGCACAGCCAGGAGACTACAGAGCCACAGAGTTCACTTCAAACAACAGCTGTGCATCATCCAGCATGACAATGAGTTTTTCCCCAGCAGTAGACTTTAGCCATGTGAGCTTGCTGAGTTTAAAGCTGCAGTTTCAATAAGTTCGACATTATTGAGATGAGTTATATAGCTGATGTTATTGACAGTGAGGATCAGGGGGATAATGTGTGGGTAGAATTCTGAGGGGACATCATTTTTAATAAATATCTCTTCCTTTCCCTCATTCAAAATTTGAGATTAAAATAGTATTGCATTAAGGGTACTGTTCTTTATTTTCATTGGGTGGATGTAAAGCTGAATTTAAAATCAGAGACATCATTACTCACCAAACAGTAGGCTACTTTTTGTAACTTTTTCAGTAAATAAAAACGGCACATCATCTTCATCATTGAATTGTCGCCCTCTGTTGGTTTAGATGCATAAATACAGCAACAACAACCCGCTTTTCAAGGGCAACGCTTAAGTCCCGCCTACTTCCTTTTGATTTGTCCATAGTACCATTCTCGCCAGCTGATTGGATAGTTTGACGTCAACTGAATGACGAACACGGATGTGCAAGGGAAAAAAAGCAACACTGGTGAGAAACGTGGGTAAACTATTGTATATATTCAGCTCTGTGTTGTCAATGTGCAGTTTGAAATGTGTTCTCCGTCCTGCCTCGGTTTAGACGACCTTATTGCAGGTCTTCCGTGTAAATAGAGAGCATTCCTCTATCTTAGCGACCTCTGCTCAAGACATTTGGACTAGCAGCTAACGCTAGCTGCAAATGTCCAAAACTGTAAGAGTGTCACCTCTCAGTAAAATGTCACTTTGACAGTACAATTAAAAAAAATACTCTTCTGTTTTAAATCACTTGATTTGATGTTACTATCAGCCTCACTTGGTTCTGATAGGTTTTGCATTTAATTTTAGTCATGTGTAAATTATTAATGCATAATTGGAAAAATGTAAATATTTGTCCTGATGTCTCCACTGATTATAAACCATGTAAACAATGCAAACAATGTGTGTGTGTTCAATATGTGTTGTGAAACGACAGCTATCCTGTGTTTTGTGTGTTCACATTTTTTATATGGTGTTCAGTTGTGAACCACTAGATGGTGCAAGAGGTCATGTATTAGAAGGTAATTTATTAGAGACCATTAGACTGTAAATAAGAAGAGACACACAACCACAACAACAACAACAACAACAACAACAACATATCTCTAGGGGATCAGCCTAAGGTTTGACATTGGAAATCAATCCCATTACCTGATAAAGAAGTAATTGGAATTGATAACAACTTCTCAGATCAGACAGGAAGACATTTAGATCATACAATAACTTTCAGATTGCCCTTTTAATAAAAATCATATTTAGGAAGAAAGTAATAACATCTCTTTCTTTAATTTAAGAGTTCAAATAAGTCAGTTGAATGACAGTTGTAAAGAGACACTCTACAATAACACAGTCCTCAACCGTGTACACATTGCCTTTAAGTGTCTTCATTCGAAAAGGTCACTCCTGACTTAACATACTGTTCAACTTTACAGTGTCAAGACTGGCAGCTCAGTATTCCCATTAGTGCCTCACATGTTGCTCTTTTCTTTTTAATGCCTCCCAGCTTCACGGTCACTTTTCTGCCGGTGAAGCCGATCAGTCATAGTTTCTCTCTTTTATCTGTGTGTGTGTTTTCCACAGTGTTCATCTGACTGATGGCTGCCTCAAGGAAACTGGCGTCTTTCCGTCTGCCTCCCTTGCCTACAGTCAGTGAGCTCATAAAGCTGTACAACCTGCGAGCGGAGAAACAGCTCTCCCAGAACTTTCTGTTGGACTTGAAGCTCACAGGTTAGTCTGCCTCACACCTTTTTTTTTTTTTTCTCTTTTCACTCTATCTGCAGTGCACCAACACCTGCAAGCTCCTGCTCTTTTTTTTCTTCTTCATGTCTACACTTGTGGCACAGTGTGTGGTGTGTGTTTTTGTCAGCTTACTGACTTGATTGCACGGCTTCACATGTCCTTGTCTCAAGACATTGAAAACGACAAGCTCTTCGATGTGAGTGAGGTTGAGTAGATCTCCTGCTAATGTGAATGGACTGAGTCAATTGTTTACAGCCTTTTGCAGAGCTTCAGCCTTAATATAATTATCAGTGATGCAGTGCAGGTCTGATCTGCTTTCTTGTCCTTGGGCAAGGTGACTGTTAGATTAATGTATCTCTGCATCACACTGATGCAGACAGATATTGCAACATAACACGCCATTAATCTCAATTTAGATACCCGAGACTCGGATCCAGACATCTGATTGGAGAGTGTACTTTGATTTATATGATTTGTTTTCTGAAGTTAGTATGTATTCTTTTTCTGTCGTATGCAAAGATATCAATGAAACACACTTTTGAGTCAGCTGTCCATCGCCATCTTTTCAGACAAAATAGTGCGTCAGGCAGGCAACTTGAGTGATGCCCATGTGTGCGAGGTGGGTCCTGGACCTGGAGGTCTCACCCGCTCCATCCTTAATGCCGGGGCAAGAGATCTGCTTGTGGTGGAGAAGGATACGCGCTTCATCCCAGGGCTCAAGGTAAATGTAACCACCCCACAGCTATAATGGTATGTGGTCTTACCGAGGTCATTAAGCAGAGAAACGTTCAGACGCATTCACCGTTGAATCTATTTGAAACTGCAGCATCATTAGCCACCTGTAGAGTGATTGAAGACTGTCTTTTTATTATTTATTTTATTTCATATCCTTCTTCACAGCTCTTGTCTGACGCAGCACCTGGGAAGTTGAGGATTGTCCATGGTGACATTCTCACCTTCAGAATGGACCGAGGATTTCCAGTCGATATCGCAAAGCCATGGGAGGAAGGTGAGGGACACAAGTGTTGATGCTGTTGCTGTTTGTATTGAATTTAACAAGAACCTAAATGTGTGTCTTTGTGTGTGTGTGTGTGTGTGTGACTTTGCAGATCAACCAAACCTTCACATCATAGGGAATCTCCCTTTCAATGTCTCCACGCCCCTCATGATTAAATGGCTGGAGAACATAGCCAACAGAACGGGGCCCTTCGCCTACGGACGCACCCGACTCACACTCACGTTCCAGAAGGAGGTGGCAGAGGTGGGTGACACGGCTACATGTTTTAGTTTCTGTGATTTACATCTATCATGAACATTGTCCTCTTCAGCTGCCAAGAATTATTTCATAAAATAAAAGCTTAAAGTGTGGTGTAATTTACTTAAAAAAATGTGTGTAAGTTGGTTAACAAACCTAATATAACATGTTCTCAAGAGGTCTGAACTTGTTGTTTTATTACTCTTTTGTTTTGCACAAAAAAATCATCAAAAAACTCCTTTTTTATTACAATTAAATATTAAATCCTTGATCCATAATTTACCATTATTCACAATTCAAATAGAAACATGTTCATCATTAAGGCAGCGCAAGTCGTTCACAGTAGGAGTTACTGATGTTTGCTTAATTGATTTAACTATTAATTAGCCATTAAAACCTAATTAGGATTCACTTATGTGCTCATTATGCTCCAATTTTGGTCCTGTTAAAATGCTAACAAGGCACTTTCATTACGGCTTAAAGTACATGACCTCAAGACATAACCTCACCGAAGATGCATCAGTAATTTCAAGTGTTTCCTTCTCCAATCCAGAGGTTAACAGCCAGCACAGGCAGCAGACAGAGAAGCCGTCTTTCTGTTATGGCTCAGTATCTCTGCACAGTCCACAACTGTTTCACCATCCCCGGGCGAGCCTTTGTCCCTAAGCCAGAGGTAGGATTGAACTTTTATCACAACATTTCATCATGTCTTTATTAAATGCTACCATTTCAGATTGAAATAAATAAATCAGGTACTGACTAAGGCACACGTGGCAGCAATGATTAGTTGGTTATTTTTATTACGCATGTGCTCAGACTGGGCTTCTTTTCAAAGTGGTCAAAAGTCAGCAAACTTTTGTTGTGTTTCCTGGAGCTATTCTATTGCTTACTCTTCTATATGTCCTCTATGCTCTTCTTAGCCCACACATGTACACCCTTGGAGATGGGTCTGAACTAACATTTAAACTTTCGGAAAACTTCAGGCAAAGTTATACCATGTTAGAAAATCGAATTTTCATCCTTGAAATGGCGACAGTTAGAAAAAAAAAAGAGCAGATAACCGAGCTTCCGTTTTCACTGTTCTTCTTACTCGACTATATGATTAGAGTGAGATCTCCTAATCTGTGCTCCTCCTCTGGTCCCATGATCCCATCAGACTCCCCTCATCACGTCACCCTCACTCATCCCTCCCTCGCTCTCCTCTCGCTTTAAGGCTTCATTAGGACTGTGTTGAATCAGTGTTGTGTCTGTTCTGTCTTTGGCCCCTCTCGAGGTCGTAATGATGCCTGGTGGGTATTTGAGATGTGGCACGATCACACTGTGCTTTGTAATGAGGACCCAGTTCTTTTTTAAGGACCGATTTCTCCCTCTGCGTTGTTTAGCTCATGTTGTGTATCATTGGCAAAAAGAAAAGCGGTCACTCTTGCGTAACTTGAAATTTCTTTAATTCTTGGGGTAAAGATTTATGGGAGGACCAGGAGGTGCATAAAAAAAATTGAAGTGGTGCTGTGAAATTTGAAATTTGAGTGTTAGCTAATAGAGAGCTGCTCTGAGATCTATTTGGAGGTTGCAGACGCTCGACTCATTTGGAAGACTCAGGAGCTCTCTTACGTCTTTGTACAAATGAAACCGTGTTTTCCTTTCCTGAATTAAAAGGATAGGTGTTAGGTTGATGTCAGAGATGGACTGTTGGTCCCATGAAAACACCGTGGCTCTTTAGGAGACCCACTGTTGGTAAATATTTAATCTCTGGCATGGAGTAAAAGGCAGCTGAGTGAACGAGACCAGGGCTGATTGTTCATTCTCTCAGAAGAAATGGCTCCCAATGATTATTTCATCACACTCAGCTGCCTTCCTGTGCATTTTCCTCCTCTTGAGTTTCTAATTTTTGTGTACATATATGTCAAACTAAAGCTTTATGGATTTCAGCATTCTTGCCTGTGCTGCAAATATGCACACATGTGTATGCATGCCTGCTTTCTAGCATGCATATGTCGTATAAATGTGAGCAAAGTGGACTCACTGCATACATGCGCATGCTTTGCAGATGAATCAGCACCTCCCACATGCCCACACAGGCCGTCTATCCCCCACTAAATGTTTTAATGGGCACTTGGTCGAACTGATATCATTAGGAGAGATGATGGTGCTTTGATGAGCTAGCCTCGCGCTGCTGGTGTCCTATAAAAGATCAGAGAGAGCATAGCGTAATTAATGCTATCATACCCTCTGCATTGTGGAGGCCCCCTTTTTACTAGTGTGTCATGTAGTATAATTCATAAAAAAGCTCTGTGTCTCGGGACTGTTTACTGGTGCACACAAAAGTAATTACGCAGAATGTGCATAAACAATAAAAATGTCCCGCCTGATTTATTGAACAGCATCAATGGCTGGAAGGAAGAGAGGTTGAGGTTGATGCTAAATCAGTGGTTTGTCTATAAACTAACTAATACTTAACCGATCTAAGGTGAGCATGTAAAGTACAGGGAAATATTGGGATAGCATATGTGCATACATTCTAACTGATACTTCCTTTGAATTGTGCAACTCCTTCAGCTGTTATGAATTTAAAAAGCATAAAATAGCTTTTAGCAAAAGCTAAAATATCATAAAAAATATTTAAAAAAAAAAATATATTGATACTTGGCCGCAATGAGACGATATAATATCGCCACACAAAATATCGTGATACTATATTGCATCAAACTACACGGCCAAACATCAGAGGCCCCCCTCTCTGTTTCTGTCTGTCTCTCTCTATGTCAAAGCTTTGTCTGTTCTCTTTTCTTGAAAAGTGTGTGTAACACTGCCTCCTCATATAGCCAATAAACTGAGGCTCCAGTTGTTATTATAGAATAGAATAGAATAGAATTACTTTATTGATCCCAAACTGGGAAATTGTGGCGTTGCAGCAGCAGGTTATCCAACACACAATATGAGTAAAAAACACAATGTTAGCAAATCTAAATATAATATAATATTAAATACAAAGTAAATAAGCACTAAAAATATCAAAACTAAGAATGTGAATATATACCACCAGGATTTAACTAAGCATTACTTGTCTTAAATAGGAAGATTAAATATGGAAGATTGAATGTAAATGTGCAAAAACAGAGTTAAAGTGCATGAGTGTAGACATATTATAAGCAGAAATATAACGACACGGACAATGGGAGCTGCTGCAACCGGCGGCCCCCTCACACAGCACCGGAAGCTGGAGTGCTATTGTTCCTTCTCAAGCTTTAAGATCACCTGATTGTCTTAAAAGAGCACAATTGGTTTGTTTGTTTTGCATCGTTCAGCTAATCTTTGTCACGCTTGAACCTGCAGTTCTGTTTTCTGCTGTCAGTGAGTCGTCCTGGAACTCAGCTCAGTCATAAATCAATACATATATTTCTATATCTTTAAACATTTCGATGAAACTACAATGCTACTGGTTGGTCAGCAGTTGTAGAAATCGTTGTCCGACGGCAACATCTCCCACACCCCAGCCAATAAAATATGCCGCAGCCGGTGCTTTACCACGCATATGGCAATCAGTGGAGTGTAAAAAAACATCTGAAGTGGTTTAATACTGTGTAGTCAAACTAACAGCAAGTCACAAAGAGCCACGGAAACACAGTGAAATTACTGAACCTTTCCAAATAAGCATGGTGAGAAAATAGCTTTGGATGAACACAGAAGGGGGTTGGGGGGGTTGGGGGGGTGCCAGTTGATTTGAACATATAGGATCTGGCCAGTGCAGGCTAAAGGGATAATGAGAAGGGAAATGTTGAATCCATTTTAGATTAGCAGCTGCTGGAGCTCGTATTGACGTGGGCTGTGAGGATAGGCTCTTATCTTTGCTGTTTAATCTGTCCGTCTTGTTCTTCTCGCCCCCGGACTGCACCTCTCTTATGTCACATTGAGTGACTGAGATTGTCCTTGAAGGTTTCTGAGAGAGGCGATTGGCTGCTTCGATGGTGTTCCCCCCCAGGCTCACAGTGCACTGGGTTTGTCCTGCTGCAGATCACACCTGCCTCCCTTTTTCTTATTAGTCGCTCTCAGCCTGTTAATTCTCACAAAGACTGACGGATTGATTGACTGATCTTAAAATGGGTTCTGTCCTTCACAGCTTTACCTGGAACACCTCTTTTAAGAAGGCAAACTGAGAAGGGAAAGGCAGTTTTTGGTTGCTTCAGGCATAATACACATTTCTAATTTGTATTCTGGTCAGGGGTCAAGGACTTTTAGAGTGCATACTGCCATCTGCATCTTCACCACGAACATCCACTGATCCAGTTTTATCTTCACTGCCTCTTTACATAGAAAGCAGCTGATTAGCAAAGAGTAGCAAAGCGTCTTGACTTGCTCATCCACCTCTTTGCTTTCCTGGCAGAATGTGATTAAAATCAACTCCTGTCCTTCGCAGTCAGGTCTTTAAGTTGTGTAATAGATGCTTCATCACGAGCAACCCGCTGTTTCTTCTGGAGAGCTACTATAGAGCTCTGCATCCTGCTAAGAGCTGTGTCATTCATTAGAACGAGTGAGGAGGGAAAGGAGGTGTTGGGGAGAGGGAGAGATGATAGAGGTGAAATAAAAACCGTGTGAGAAAATGAGTTAGAGAAAGAAAATTGGAAAGAGGGAAAATTGAGTCATAACTTGGTGGGAGATGAGAATAGAAATAAAGGATGGATGAAACGGAGGCAGTGAGAGCTGACTGGAAACGCAGTGAGATAAAAGCAAAAAGGGGAAATATGGAGTGAACAACAAAGGCTGGAAAAACGGGATTTAAAACCCACAAAACTACCTCCGCGAGTACAGATCGCTGGGAGACAGCTTCATGACAGAGATCGATCTGAAAGGAAAGTGAGGCGTACCTCCAGCAGATGGTTGTCTGGGCCAGTCGTCGGCCCGCTCTGAGTAATGGCTGCATCAGCCATCAACCCGCCAACTAACTGAGCCTCACAGGACGAGAGCCCTACAGATGTTCGCCTTGTACGCCGTCGCGAGCAAGAGCACAGGCCAGATGAGCGGAGCATAAATTAAATTTGTTGATGCTGCATTAAGCATCCATTACGGCTCATAGTTGTCAGAGAGAGCTTTGACCTGCATCCAAAAAAGTGACATGTTAATGTCCTCTTGTATTTCTTTCCATGGCTAGGTATCAGCAGCTTTTCAACGATCAAATGAATGATAACCTTCTAGTGCAGAGGGTGTTTCAGTGTTGAATGTGACCCACCTCAGTGCATTGTAATGCAGTGGCAGGCTCTATGATGGATATCTTCTCTGTGACCTGAAGTGGCCTAGCTCTCGCCTCGACAGCACGAATGAGAATGGTCTCAAAGCCCACTCTGCTTTCCCACCTCCCACCAACACACTCTGCAGGCTCCCAATTCATCAAGGCATATTCCTGTCCCACAAAACGGGGTCAAACGTGGTATCAAGAGTATCGAGAAAGTTATTTCAATGACTCGTGCCAGCGCTGTAAACGCCTGAAGGCTTGGTCTCAATACATCACAGACCCAAGGTAAAGAAGGGCTAAAAATACCCCCTCACCCCCCCTTCCTCTTCTCTCTTTAAACAAAATGCCGAGGTTGGCGGAGTTGGCTTACGAACATCTCCTGAGATCTATTGCTCTTCCTAACAAGAAACTGTGCCGGGGTTAGCTCCGAGTCAGCGATCACAGTTCAGCAAATTCAGCTCTGTTTAGTTAGCGAGCACGCCTACAGAATACACAGGTGATGTGGAGAAGAATTACTAAAACCCTGGCTATATACCAAGAAAAGAAAGTCGTCTTCAAAAAGCAAATCAGTAGCCGTGCTTTGATGCACTAATAACCAATGAAGTGGGTGAAGAAAAAAAAAAAAGAAGCTCCAACACAATTGAAGTCATCAATCTGTAAGCTATTAACATGACGGGTTATTTGAGCGCTGTAATTTCGACTTCATGCACCGTGATTTCATGACTTAATCTCAGGCTTTTAAGAGGGGCTGAAGGTGTGGGTTGGATTTAGTGGAAGTGTTGATAAGATTTTGTGCAGGCCTTATTAACGTAGTTGATTCAGCTAAAAAATGGTTTAACTGCTTCAGCTTTATAGTGTTTCTGTGTCCAATTTATACTTTGCAATCTTTTCTTGTTAATTACAACAATCCTTACAGTCACTTATTTTCATCAAGAGAGATATAGATGGCCAAAAGATTGATGTGTCTACAGCTTTAATCCATTTAGCCTTCCTCACCTCAAGCTCACAGAATCTCCCCTGCCATGCGTTCCCCCCCCTCCCCCCCCAAACCATGCTCAAAAATGAAATATTAACGGGCCTCCTTTGAACTGTCAGAGTGTATTGTTTTCCTGCACGCGCTCCTTTTGTCATCTCCACGGCTTTAACTGCCTCCCTCAGCAGTAAACTGCGCAGCCAAGGTCGTTGCTATTATTCCCCAGCCTCCACATGTACACTGGCACTAGAGCAGAGGTGCTCCAGCAAAAGGAAGGTCATCCTCCCCTCGGCGCTGATGACCACATTATATCTCCAGTATTGGAGCTTCATGAGCATAACGGTGGTCCAAAACAAAGAGCAGCACATTGAGCATGGTGATATACTTGAGCGATTTGGGCGCTCACTATATTCTAAGCGATGTGGCGAGCAAGATGGAGGTTCGGTAAATGATTTGCATGACTGTCCTCCTCTACCCGCACCGTGTCATCAGAAGACCTGGAGGAGTGCATTAACGCTCCTCTCTTGGTCTTCTTTCGCGTTTCGCTTTCTGTGGTTGATCTTTTGGAAAGGTCATTCGCCAGTCAAAAAGGTCAATAAAACAATCAGCGCATCTTGAAGAGGCAGTAAAGTTCAAAGAGAAGCCTGACGCATGATTAACCCGTGCCTCGAATTGACGAGCGATCACTCCCCTCATCTAAGCTCACATTCCAGATCTGTCACAGCGGCAACTCGAGGTGAAAGCCTTTGATGGAAAATGTAGGTTAAATACACAGAGGAGCAGATCTTATTAGCAGTTCCCCACGAGAGGAGCTGGGTATTTGATGCGCTCTCTTGTTGCATAACCGAGAGGAGTGGGAGAATGAGATGGAGACTTGAATAATCTATGTTTGCTTCGAGAACGCACTCCTCACCCTGTCGGTGTCGACGAGGCTCCAATCAGCTGTAATGAGATCCCAAATTCTCTTGGAAAGAAACTATTCAACAAGCGCTCCATAGGAAGTTTTGGGCTTTCTGCCAGGGAAAAGAGGTTTTTTTGTTTTGTTTTCTTTTAGAGCTGTGGAACAGGCTCTGCTGAAGGCTAAGGACAACACAATAATAAGTGCAAACTTTGATGACTCGTTTTTTTTCATACAGTACATTTATTCAAAAACGTAAAAAAAAGAAAGAAACATCTGCACAATTATATTAGTTCAAGGTTTCTCTTAAGTCCACATAGACGAAATGACTGCCTCGTGATTATGTAGCTGAAACCTGAGAATTCAGAAAATAAATAGATTATCTAGAGAGTTTGAGATCATTGTTTTTGTTGATCATTACCTTTTGAACGGGTACTCGCTGCTTTTACTTTTTTTTGCTCTAAAAAAAAAAAAGTTGAATACAGACCTCCTTGTTGTCCACTATTAGGGCTTTCACACTTGCAAAAAACTCCTTAAAAACTCCTGATATTTCCCAGAGGAGCTATATGTGTGAACGCAAACAGCCACATTTTTCGTTCGGACTTAACCCGGAGTTACACCTCTGTGTACTGTATTTTTATACTTTGTTTATTCAGTCAGGCAAACTCAAAAAGATCAGTTACACATGTAGTGCTAACACTAACTAAGCTGAACTAGTGTAGCTGATAACAACAGGTGCAGGAGTAATGAAACGTTACTCGGTTATTAACATCTTACCGTTATAATGAGGACCCAAGTACTGGTATCGTATCCATCCTTATCGACTAGTTCACTCAGCTCTACTTGTCAAATTTGGATTATCAGAAATCATTTTGATAGAAATCCCTTCATATCAGTCATAAAATCTTGTGACTTAGGCATGTTGGAAATGAATGTTTCCATTTGACTGCACAAAAATGATTATTTGAATGTTAAAAATTAAATGGTTTTAAATAATATTTCAAAAAATTGTCTGACATTTCTGTTTAGCAACTTGTTACTTATCACTCTGTTTAAAATCTGAAATATCCTAATATGTGCTTATTGCAGCTAAACCAGCGTAGGTTCTTGTAAAAGATCAGATGCAGCTGTTCATGTAAATGTCTGTCATACACAACCTCTTACCTTTTGTTGTTGTTCTGTTGTGGTTATCTTTAATGTAGTCAACAGCTTCACATGTTGAATGTAAACTCATGACAGTCAGATTTAACACGGGACTGTTGTTTACATTATATTCATGTATCAGCCTATGCTATAATGAAAAGAGATGCAATCACTGGAAGAGGCTATAGGTGTGATATTACAGGAAGGAGTACTTCTCCAAAAGCCATTTGCACATAGTCATGTTTTATGGATGCATATTGCACTTGGACTGACACTGCCGTATTCCTGGTGCTGTGTATTGTACGAGCAGTCTACATACTCTCAGCACAGCCTGGACCATCCAACAATCTGCAGATATGATCCTTATCAGCCACACACAACAGACTTTATCCAGCAGCATGTTGCTTTCACAAAATAGTTTTATTGGTAAAAAATAGAACTACTTGCACAAGCACATTGAGACAACTGTATCAGAACTTGTGAACTGTTCATCATCACAAATTTGCTCTGGCAAAGTAAGAAGTGCTAAAGCATCCACAAAAATAAGCTGCTATTATCAAAATGATAAATCACTGTCTCGATACAGGATATGCAGTAGAGTTGTAACTCTTTAGACTTTTAGGACCTAGTCACTTTTGCACTCTGGCCATTTATAAGCTAATGAAATCGCGTGCTGATGATCAAGACGCACAGCCACAAAAAAAGAGAAACTTCTAGGTTCTACTTCCCACCTGAATCCTATCAGACAGAAATTGTTCCCTTTTTTTCCAGAGTGCCAGTAGTGTTATTTATTTGTACTGGTCCAGGAAACCTGGAATGCTCAGCCATTTGAAACAAACTGCTGTCAAAGTAACACAAGTAAAGGTGCATTGCGTAGTCTTCTTATAAAGAAGATATGATATGAACATGATACTGTATTTTATATTGAAACAATCAGAGGGAATCCTGATCCCTCAGTAAAAACAAACACATTAAAAGGCCAGATACTTGTGTACAGATTTCACAGACTTACAGTAAACCAGAATTCCTGAAACAAATACTTTTTTTTCATTTAGAAAATACCACACTTGTATCTTTCCATTGAAACTCTCGTGCCCAGTGAAGTCTTGCTGTGCTTTGGGGAAATGAGAAATAAAGAGGATCTAAAATAACCCTCGAAAGCTGCACTGGTCTGTACACAAGCATCTAGTTGACTTGAGACTTAGTCTGGCAGAACAAATCACAAATCCATAAAACATTTGCTAATGTATAATTCATGTACAAACAACGCAATAAAAAAATAAACAGAAAGAACTCCACTTAATATTAAAACGTGTCATCATGAGACATTTGGCACATTCTCAAACACATATCGTGTCAGTATTAGTTGATGACATGGCACATTCTTTACTTAGTTTATTGCATTGGTTATGGTGCCTGGGCAGTGAGTTATTGTCAGGAGGCCAGTTCTGTCTGTGCTGGTCAAGATGGCTAAGTCAGGGTGGGGTGGAAACCCGGCCCTAGGGGCTGCCAGGGCCGGCAGTGATGCCCACAGAGATGCCCGTGGCGTGCCAGCAGCAGCCTGCAGGTGGCGAGCTGGGCCTAGCCATCTGCTCTCCCCCCAGGAAGCTGCATGTTTCTGAGCGAGAAGGAGAGAACGTGCAGTTCTATACATCACTGCCAATGCCTGTTTCAAGCACAAAAAAAATGTTTTCCCTCCAACGTCCTTCCACTAAAGAGCAGACATGCTCCTCTGCATGGCTGTGTGAAAGTGAAACAGCGCTACGACACATGAGTAGGTGGGATTTTGTTTATGCGTGCATGTGTGTAGGGCGACCATGCTTTCACCATACATCAGCTTTCTCATGATCACATCCATGTGACACAAGGACAGAAGGTGTGTGGGAATAGGGAAGAGAATGGCATGAAGGTAAAAGACGAATGGTTACATAGCAAAGGGGTTGCAGTCTGGGAAGCTGAGACGTTTTGCAGGTGCAGACTGGTAGCATATGCGCACTGCTGACGCACTTGGAATACAAGTCACATATGGAGAATGACTCAAGCCTTTTTTAGCCGCCTGCCACCCAGCTACCCAATGGACCATAACTCGAGAAGCTTCTCCTTTTCTGCTTCGTTTTTTTGCCTCTCTGCCACTGCACCATTAAACATCTGCTCATCCCTGTGAGCCTACTTGCATGGTGTAGACACCGTAGCAGTGGGCAGCAAAGAAGAGTGTCTCCCACAACCTCTGACACCGCAACAGGGATGCAGGATCATGTCAGAGGCTAATAAAGGGGGATTAGAGGAAGTAGTGTGTGCAGAGAGGTTCTGATTTAAGCTTATGGAGCCATGGCTGGAGAAAAAAAAAGAAGAAGCTCCCCCCCTTAAACAACTCCACATCCGCAAACTGACAAACACATACCCCCAGACAATAAAGCCATTTGAATGCTGAATTCTGTTTCCATGGCAGTGTGGAGGAGGATGACAGGAGTGAAAAGCACATGCAAAACGCTGGCATGACTGAGTGTTTACTGTGTGTACTAAAACACACAAGAGCATGAGAAAATGTCTGAGGGCGTGCAGGAATCGGTTGAAGGATAAGGATGGGGAGCTGCTTCTTACATGCACATTTTTCTTTTTGCAATGTAAGTATGAAAGCAGCATATCAGAGAGTCAACTCTGTTGAAGGATTGAATTCCTTTCTATTTGTTACTCTCCATCTCATTGCTTATTCCCACCTGCAGAGAGACAGAGAGGCAGGCAACTGTTTGTCTGCTTTCTCTGTCTCAAATCCAGCCAAGTAGCCCACATCTCCTCCTCCTGACAGACCTCTTTGAACAGTTACAGCAGGGTAATGTTACTACAGCTTTTCAGGCACAGGCATTTTGTGGCTATGTCTCAGTCCTCTACCAGGCATTCCGCTGTATTAAATACACAGACAGGCTCCACACAGCATGCTTTAGAGGCAAAATATCAACATCATTCTAGTAGCTAAAAATATGACCATTTATTTCATTTCCACATAGCATTCTAGTGGATACGTATAAGAAAATCTACAATGGCTTGCTATGAAAAGGTTTCCACCTACTGCACTCAGGCGATATATTGCCTATTTTGTCAATTGGGAAGTGTTCCAAACGATTGTAAATAGCAGCTAAATGATTGCTTTTTTTCCTCCTTTCAATTCAAACCTTTGGCGAGGTGGGGGGAAAAAAATCTACACGGAAGCCTTCCTTATTTGCTTAATCCATTCCCCCGAGGGAACTCTTTCTGTGATTTACTGATGAAGGATGTCTGCATTTGGTTAGCGGCTCCCTTGGATGCGGCAGCACCTTATCCTGGCTCCTTGCACATTCACATTGTTTGTTCCAAGGCGCTGCTCAGGGAATACCTCCACTGTTTGTGCTTGCAAAACAGAAAAAGGTAGAAGAGCAAGGAAGAGGGAAATGAATTCAAAGTTGTTGCCCTCCTTTTTCATTTCTTTCTCCTCCTCCATCTGGAGAAGAGCCTGGAGTGGAGCATAAGCCGTGATGGTTTCCCCTCAGGCTCGTCTCCTTTTAGCCGTAGCATACACAGCACTGTTTTATTACACGTAGTCCTGCAGGCTGTAGCCAGTCTTATTGTCTAATGGGGAGAGAGAGCAGTACTGATGCTGGAGCTCCTGCTGCTGCTGAAGCAGCTGTTGCTGTTGCTGCTGCTGGAGCAGCAATTTGTCAGGGGGAGGGAGCAGGACCAGATCCTGGGGGCCATGCCTCTTCCCCGAGCAGGACATACAGAAGATGGACCCCCCAACAAAGAGGAATCCTGCTGAAACAAAGGCCACATACACTGCTCCCCCAGGCTCAAACTTATTGCTCTCGGGCACACTTGAGTCCAGGAAGTTGGTGATAACCTCGTTGGTAAACCAGGAAGCAGGCACCAGACACAGAAAGCCCGAAGCAACAAAACAGGCACCACTGGCAATCGCAGCGTGCCGCTTGGAGCGCCGTCCACCCCCCCAACGTGTGCATTTTAGTCCCAAGGATGCAAGGCAGAGACCCATGGCAGCAAGTACGCAGCAGAGTACCATGGTGGTGCGGGCAGTCTGCAAGTACGCAGGTAGTGAAAGCACTGAATACTTAAGTGTGCAGCTGAACATGCCCGTGCTGTACCATGTGCAGTCCATCCACAGACCCTGCATCTGGGAGATCGCCGTGATGATGTTGGAGCCCACGTCTGCGCTGACCTTCCAGTTGGGCAGCAGAGTAGCCACCATGGCACCCATGATACCCAGCAGCGCTAGGACAAATCCAAATATCTGCATGCCCGTGGATGCCATGCTCCTTTTTTTCAGGTAAATGCCGCCGCCGCCGCCTCAGCCGTTCTCCGCGCCAGGCTGCATTCACCCAGCGCCAGCCAGGCTCCTTGACCCCACTGCCCAGCCGCCTCCTCCTTCCTTTTGTGGTGTACCAGCTGCCGGTCAAATCTCCAGCACCTCAGCACCTCAGCGGTGGCTCCACTGTGCTGGAGGAGAGAGAGAGAGAGACGAAAAAAGGAGAAATTGAACTGAGTGGGTCCTCTTGCTCTCCTCCTTTCTTCCTCCCCCTCATTCACTTCTCGCAAGCCCAGACTTTTCGAGCTGGAAACAAAGGGCAGTGAGAAGCACTAGCAATAAGAGCTGGCTCTGGCTGATACAGTAAGTAGGCAAAACACTGGGGTTGTTTGCATGTATGCATTTTCTATGGGCTGCCTTCTCCTTTTCCCTAGCGGAGCCCCACAGAGCTGTTATTGGAGAGGGAGAAATGAATTTGTGGTATTTGCAATCCTCAATTGCTATGTGGACTTAAAGCTGCAGTGCCCTTACCCCCCTCATTTACTGAATATATTCTACCACTTTGGGTTCCAGTGCTGTTTGCTCAATAACTGAGCGGACTGTTAAAGGTAGTTCACAGTTACACGTTTCCTTCAGGTAAAATATCACTTCATTCAATCCAGTCAGCCGCTAGAATTAAACTTTGTTTATGTACCTGCTCTTTTTATTGCTACTGAGACGTACTTCCTGGCGGCGCATCGTGGACTCTCCTGTTAAATAATCAGGTGGTCCAAGCTTTGAATAAATAATCTTGAATCTCAGTCTTAAGTGTTTGCTGTTGTTTTGTGGTCCTCGGAGGAGTGGGGGGGGGGGGGGGGGTGGAAAGCGATGTTGAAATAATCCCTTACCCCGGCTGGTGCAGAGCTAGCGCTGACGCGTCACGTTGTTCGCAGTGGTCCCTGTAAACACACACAGTCACACACAGAAAGACAGTCTGCCTGTGAGGGGGCGAGCAGGAGAACACAGCCCGGACCGCGGACCCATTGAAGCCATCCATTTCCTTAGCAACAGCGTATCAAAGGACATCCCAGCGCCGTGGACCACACAGGCTCGGCCGGAGCCTGGGCGAAATAACCGTGGCGCTCCGGCTGTCTCCCTCTTTCTCTCTCTCTCTCTCTCTCCCCCCTGCTCGCTCTCTCTCTCTCCCACTCTCTCTCTCGTTGCTGGTTTGTGTGTGTATGAGTGTGCGCTGGAGAATAAAAGCCTCTGCCTCACAACAGCAACTTAATAAAAGGTTAGACTGCTCCGGTAGTCTACATCTATCAACTCCTTCTTTCATGACAACCAATAACCGACCCCGTTACCCAAACAGACCTGATCTACACCTCTGCTTTCTTATCGTGATAAATGATTATCTACAGCCCATAATTAAACTTCTAAAATCCGATTTTTTTTCAACCTTAAATATCTAATTGTCTCTAACTCTCTCTGGGCTCTAACAATTTACCACTTAGATAGCGATCATGTCCAGAGCCAATTTATTTATAGGCTATAAAAGCATCTTGAATCAGCTTACACAAACAATACAAAAATGTCCTTGCCTATCCGGCCTTTGTTGTTTGTTTGTCTTTATTTTTTTTTATTTTTTTTTGCTTAAGTCTTCTGTTCTCTGTAATTTATGCCATTTCTTGTAAACATTTTTTTTATAACACCATCCTTCCCCCAAGAAATAACCAGATGAATTCTTCAAGGTTGGAACAACTTTTGAAAATTAAATTCTTATTTCATTTTATTTTAATCTTATGTTACTAACGCTCCACAATCAGCAAAATATAAACTATGAACTGAAAACTGTGACGCAATTTTTTACAATGCATAGCAGAGTTTTGTAAAATTAGAGTATTTCTCTTTCTTTCTTTTTAAACTGAAGCAAAAAAAATTGGAAATGTCTGAAATGTATAATGGTACATCATGACTATCGACTTTGCCCTCATGTGAAGCTGAAATGTTCACCTAAAATAATACAAATGCAGGACATTTTGCAGAGCTTCATCTGTTTCTCTAATAGGTGGAAGTTGGCTCTATAAAGACTTTATTCTTATTGTGGATGTAACTTCCACAAAATAGTTTCCATCCGCCCCTCAACTGTGTTGAGCTGCTCAGAAATCACAAAACCATCCTGCTGTTGTTAAAAGATAAGAAAGAGCCGGGATGCAAAGTCTAGATTAGATTTCCAAACAGCCCCACCACACAACTGGGAAGGGTAATCTAATTAAGACAGAAGAAAAAAAAAAATGCTATCATTATATCCAGACAAGCTGATCAGAGTTGTGTTCTGCGAAAGCTTTTTGTTTGTTTATGGTTTGGTCCAGAGGCCCAGAGGAGCATGTGTACGCCACCATTCCAAAACTGACCGTCCCTGGGGCATCATCTTCATCAGGCATCAGTCAGCAGGAGTCTGAAATTCACAGCTGCTACCCTGTCTCAGCCTGTCTTTCCTCTTCTCTATTTAGAGGACGCACAACAAGGGTGGGAGTGGCTAGGGCGGCCTTGAGTCATGAATGACAAAGAGGACAAAATGATAAGAGTGAAAAAAAAAAAAATCAGTCAGGGCTAATAGGGCTGTTACCCTTGGAAATGCAGATGTATATCACTTATATTTTGCTGCATAGGCACATTTTCAAAAACAGCCAGCTGTGGGAAAATATTGCACATGTTCCCCCACTTACAGTGAAACATCCCGGCATTGACAATAGTGATGTGTAGCTATTACGTGTAGATTGGGTGGTAGCAATTGATTTGTTTAGCTATTGATCTGTTAGTTTAATATGGCCCAGTGCTCTCTCCATCCAACATTGTATTTCCCATAAACTTCCCTTAAGAGACCCTTTTCTTAAAATGAGATCTGGCCAGAATGCAGGGATGCTGCATGCCACATTACCTCCAATGTGATGCTGGTGGCAACCTTCAGAGCAACATTCTCTGGGCTCCTTGTGGGATACCGCTGCAGAGGGAAGAAACATTTTTCCAGTTTTCTACACACACACACACACACCGTACAGTATGCCGTGTGACCTGTCTCCTTGTAACAGATGAGATCTTAAGTGCTGATGCTGGTGTTGTTCTGTGGGGAGTGAGATAAATAAATAAATAGATTATAGGGAGGTAGTGGTGAAAAGGGGAGAAAAAGATGGAAGGAGAGAAGAGCAGTTCATGGTTAACATACACACTGTTAGTGCAGATGTGTGACGCTGTGATGTGTGAAGATATTGCGGGCTATTATAAGCGTGGTCCCCTTTATTTTATCACCTCACAGCAGAGCTCTCGAGCCTCTCCTCAGCATCGCTCTGAGGCACAGCCGGACCAGCCGCGCTCTCTTTTTGCCCACACGAAGGGCTTTTATCATTCAATTTGCATTTTCCTCTTTTATGTCCTCCCTTGCGTAATTGGTTTCCTTGCTCATCGTCTTACAGAAACGGCTTTGTACACTGCAGAGATGCAAGGTGTCGTGTGATAGCTGTGATGTCACTGTCAATGCAATCTCGTTTTTGCGAGCAGGCTAGTTTCAGTGTACATGAAATGTGTAAACCTCTGTAATACAAAACCCTTCTGACAGGTTGTAAAATAACCGTCACTGTCTTGAATAATGAGGCTCTTCAGCTTACATAATGAAGTCTGATTCCCATGTGAACAATGGGGGAATGGCATTTATGACTTTTTAAATATCCCATCAAAACTATTTTTCCCATGTTGTCCTTTTTTAGTTTTTCCACTGGACCAATATATTTCACATATTTGGGCAAAGTTCAAGCTTTTCTATGACGAAAGCATCTCTCCATGGAGCTGTTCTTGACTAGGGCTCCAGTCTTGGATGTCCTGTTTGCATGCCATGGGCGATTTCATGGGAAGTGCGCTGGGCTGCCTGCACAGGAAGCCAAAGCCCTTCCTCCTAAAACCCCTCAAGCTACATCAGCCTTGTATATTCAGCAGCATTGACTGCTGCCTTCTCCTCTCTGAGAGGCTGTCTCTCTCCAATGATGTAACGGAGGGTGTCTTCCTAAAGTATTGTCATGATTAATGCAGCTCTTCCCTCTTGGTCGGAGGATCTCGGTGAGCTTTCTGTCTCGTTTATTCCCTGGATGTGTACGACTTCCTTCCATCCCCCTGCTCTTTTACAGAACCTGCTGTTATGTAATCAGAAGTGTTGGTCGCTCAGGTAGCACAGTAAGCTGATGCCCTGGGGCCCCTGCCATCTCATCTTGGTTACGCTTAGAGGGACATGAAAGATTGCTGCTCACACGACATCGGGCAGGAACTCACCAAGAAAGAGACATCGAAGGTGGAAACAGGGAATGATGAACTGGACAACCACAGGGCAAAGCTGGAGTAATAGTGAGCTTTGGGAAGGTCAAACACCGGAAAAAGGTTAACGCATAAGTCTGTTCATATAGATGTGAGGCTTTTGTACTCAGATGGGACAGAAAAGGTTTAGAGTTGCAGAAAAAGCTGACGTGTGACTTTGAGATTGTGATCTGCCGTATTTTGCCCTTTTCAAATGCCCTCGGGGGGAATAACGAGAATAGGACCTTGTTTTTTTTACTGGAGAAGAAGCCGGGGGGCTTGGTTGATGAGATAAGTTATTTTAGCTCATGTAGGGGAAGAAGAAGGTTCACTGTATTTCTAATTGTTTGAAGCCTTTTGATGCCAGAGGGATTTTCATGACATAAAGTAAAGATCCTTACAAAACAATCACATGGAGACACCAAAGCAGTGGCAATAATCCCCTTGTATTTCACTGCTGGATTGGACAGTTGGTTTAAGTCTACAAGGACTAATCATAATCAGAGCATTTCTTTACTCTCTATTTATGATCCTTGCCACCGCCAGTGTAAATAAAAGACCCAGGGAGATGGGGGTTGAGAGAACCTGAGCAAAGGGGGAGGTATTAAGCTTGTCAGAGAGGGACACGAAGTCAGCCTGCTTCTCCAGTTCAGGATCTCGTAGCAGAGGCAAAGTATTTTAGGGGTTTGGGGGGTGGGGGGTGGGGAGTGTGAGGTGAAGGCATGTTCATAGCACCTCAATGAAGGGCCCAGGTGACGGCGTGTGATTTAAGACGGAGTTTCCTTGCATGTTGAGGTTATCAGGCGAAGGATTAATGGCAGGGAGCAGGATATATTCCAGCGGTGCTACCCAGTGAAGCCATGTAGCAAGGCCATACATAAATCATAGCAGCAAAGTGACTTGGACAAGCTGATGGCTGCAATGCTGCTGGCTGTATAGTCCCAATATCGACTTCTCCCCTTGCTCCTCTCTTAAATCATGAAGTGAGGAATATAAATAGCCTAATTATTCCAGCAGAGAGTGAAATTAAAGACATTCCTTTTTTTATTGCGTCTGCCTAACAGATGGTAGTCTGATTTTGCATCACCAAAACTCTAATGGAAGTATTTTTTTTTTTTTTTGCAATCCAGAGCAAATCCAAAACCAAAATCCTAACATGGTGATGAGACAGGCGGAGAAGCGGGTTCTCATCGTACAAGTCCAAACTAAATAATTCAGCCTCTCGATGCCCTTTGCCAACACCTGCAAGGTTGCTTTTGTATTTAAAATGCATCATTTCAACTAAAAGGTTCGGTGTATTAATAATAGACTGATCAAGCAGAAGCCAAGACCATTACTGACACTTCATAATAAACCCCAGTCGTCATTCAATGTTTGAATCTGTCAAACAAGACAAACCTAAACATTAAAAATGTAACATGAGATTCTCTCAACAGCTGTACTCCACATGTACTTGAGAGCTGCCACTTACGCTGCCTTTCTTCTTGCATGTCTAACTATCAAATGTTAAATCCAGTAGTTTTGAAGCATTATCTGCACTATTACTCCGACTTGCCTTCAGGACTATTAAGAGAATCCCCACCACTGCTGTCCTATTTAACACCACTGCAGCAGGAAGCTGAGCAGCAGCCTGGTGTCTCTGGAAACAGGGGGTCTGTAGATCTGATAAAGGGTAGTGCTGCGGTTCACAGGTGCTCCCAAAAGCTCCCCTCTGTTGTTCACAGAAATGGGGAATCCAAGGCACTCATGGGAAATCCTTTGCGTGTCTTTGGACCGCTTTTGTTTAACTCCCCTAATTAACAACACCATTCCCAAGAAAGCACAAGGAAGCTGTGAATGAGAGTGAGTCACACAGTCCAGATATACAAAGAATACATGAGGAGGATCTCTACTGGGCATGTACTCTTCCTCTTAAATAACCGCTGTGTTTGTATGTTTTTTGTATTAGTAAGCAGGGGAAAGCAGGTGTTTTTGGAATTTTGACTTTATATTTACAGACTGCAAAAATCTAATCTATGCATGTGCATACATTTACTTCACAAGTAACATTTGCCTTCATTCAAATACCTTCTCAGCTATTCAGTAGTATTCACATCACTGTACATTCAGCGTGTAACTTCTGTCTTTATTGTACAGTATGTCTTCAAATCTTGTACATCCTTAATCAAATAACATTCATTTCACTTCTTAGTTCTCAGGGTGCTCTCTTTCAGATGAGCTCTTTCTATTCATATACTGTCTGTTTATTTTTTTTCTTGCTATGCAAAGAGTCCTATCTTGTCAAGTACAAGTGTCAAAAAGCCCATAAGGGAAATGAAATGAATTATTATTAAGATTCACACTGCTGAATTCCTCCTACAAGCCCCATTGTCAGTCTGCTCAGCCAGTCTGAGTACAGTCCCTCTCTGTGCTGTAAGAATATTACCAACTATGGAAGACAGACAGCCGACTGCTCTGCTCGGCTGCCCACTGTCTTGCTATGCCATTGGTCCGCACACAGTAGAGTATCTCTCTTGTTGTGGTGCAGCCCTTAAAGCTATGCATTGCAGGACTGAATAGCATCATGTGACACTCCCTTGAAAGATGATTGCTTTCTGTGTGTATCAAACACACAGATCCAGAGATTCAGGAATAGTCTTTTAATGTATTTTGGTTCTTTTGATCCCACCGTGGCGTTCAGATGATGAAGACAGTGGATAATCCTTTAGATAGAGGAACAAGCTGTAGAGTAAAAGATTGTGTGGATGTATTTACAGTATGCTTTAATGCTTATGAGGAGGAGGTCTGAGAGCAGGAAGGCTCTGGTGAGTCTGGCATGATTACTTCAACAGGATGTCATGTCAGCTTAGGGCTGACACAGGAACAATAAGCACGGAAGCAGCTAGTGAACAACTGAAAGTAAGGTTACAACTGCGACACCAGTTCAGCCCTCGAAGGTCCGTTAATGCCAGTGGATAAATGAGTAGAAGGTTTGCGGAAAGCATCAAATGTGTGTTGGATCAACCAATTTGAAAAACTACACTTCCCATTTAGGATAGACCAAAAATATCCATCAAACTGAGTCAGCTTCAACACTGATTACTGCTGATGAAAGTGTGAAAACTAGCACGCAAACAAGCAGAGAGGTTTGCTTAAACACTTAGCTCAAAAGTATGTAGTAATGTGTTAAAAGGGATAGCTTGAATTGATGAAAATGCTAAAATAAATCAATGTAAGGTTTAAACAGTCAAAGTAATGGACAAAATCATTTTTAACATTTCATTGCTTAGAGTAATATTGGACAGTTTAAAATAGTTATCCGAAAGCAGCATATAGCTGAAATACACACAAAAAAATACATGGATTTTTCAAATGGATGGCTTTATGTTATATAATGAATACACAGAATAAGCTTAAATTATTAGCCAACAATTGAAATAGTTTGCCAAGTGTATCTGGCTAGCCTTGCGGTTGTATGGCTTTCTTCATGTAGAGGCTATAACACTTGAAACGGGCAGCCCGACTCAAATTCCCCCAAATCTCACTATTCTATCCTCTGCCCTCTACAATAAAGACGTAAGAAGCCAAAAATTATTCTTTATAAATTAGAAATAACCAAAATTATTTGATAAAAATGTGATATCATTATAACAATAAATGGCCAGTCGAAATGATTAGCTTAAAGAAATGAATTCACAGAATAAAATGTCATCCAAAAGTAACTTGAGACGGTTTGAATGGGTTACTAGAATGAATGGCTAAAAGGCTGGTTTATTAACAAAACGTACTTTATAACAGTTGAAAAGGCCAAGACTGATGGATAAACAGTTATTATGTGACGGGAAAAGTAATTCAAAAATAGTTATTTAATGTATTCCTCAGCCTAAAGCTAGGTTAGTATTGGTAACAAATAGCAGAACTTTACAAATCAAGGATTTTTCTAGTTGTAGTTTTAACAGGACTTTCTTAAGTGATTTTTGGTTCTCAGGAGTTGAAAGCAGACGTACATGAATTACTCAGAGTGCCTCCATCAACTGAGTTGCCCTCAAAGCTCTGTGGCTGCCTAACGTACCAATTTCATGACCAATCCATGTTCATGTTCCATTGCTTTCATCCTCAGTGGGAAAGGTAGAGTGGGAAAGACAGAGCAGTGAGGAGGGCTCATAGGTATTGCGAAACTCAGTGTTGATGCAGCTGCAGGAAGACAGACAGGAGAGAGAGAGAGAGAGAGAGAGCCTTATTTTCTTTGGTCCATCGCACAGGTGTTACTGTAGCAACTGGAACTGGTTTGCCAGCCAGCCATGCTGCGTCATCTTATTTTCTGCCTTTTTTTTTTCTTTCATCCCAATGTGTCGATCCATCTACCTCTCTCTTTCTCTCGCTCGCTTTGTCCAGCTTTGTTTCCCTCTTGCCATTTGTCAGGCAACCTTTATCTGCAGCCTTTGTCTCCACACTTTACAGTCTCCTTTCTCTTCAATCTTACTGCTCTTTCTCGCCACTTGTTTTTCTTTTTTCCCATGAGCATACGCTCTACAATTTCATTTCGAAGGTCTATGCTAACCCCCTGCTATTTGGATTCCTCCTTCTGTGTGTGTGTGTGTGTGTGTGTGTGTGTGTGTGTGCGCGTGTGCGTGTGGTTCTGTGTGTATCTGTGTGTATAGGTGGACGTGGGAGTTGTTCACTTCACCCCTCTGGTTAAACCTCAGATCGAGCAGCCTTTCAAACTGGTGGAGAAACTCGTCAGGAATGTTTTCCAGTTCCGCAGGAAGCACTGCCATAAAGGAGTAGAGTAAGCCGTATTAATCCAACTCGATGTGGCATGTAAAGCAGCTATCCTCTCTTCCCTCTGTCTCTGTTTTACTTTTTAATCTCATCTCATCTATCATGCTCTCCCTTCATTTTTCATTCTCTGTTTTCTGACAGCCGCGTCTTCATTTTATCACAAATTAGAGTGGTTTTTGATTCGCTTTTGTCACACGCACACATGCCACTCCGACAAAGGCACAACTTTTGAGGCTTTCTGTATCTAAACTCTCAAAATCAAAGCACCCTCAGCTCTGTTGAAAAACCAGCAGCAGCATACCCACACGCCCACATGCATGTGCCCATCACTCTCATGCTTGTTAGGAAAGTGTATGTAGGCCCAGATAACAAAAGAACACTGGCTGTGTGAAAGAGAGTAGCAATTATGAGTCATTGAGGTGGCATAGGAAGACAGGGCTGCATTTTTTTTTTATGTAACTGCAGTGTGTCGGTGGCAGAGGCACCAAATTGAAGGGGAGGCACCAGCACTGAAGCGCCTAAAAAGCATCTGTACTGCAAAGTGTGTGGAATTGGCATACTGCTCACCAGTACCTGCAGAGGCAGAAAACAGAACGACTTCTTGCGCAGGGAAATGAACTTAAAGTAATCGGCTTCCTCTGTGTTTTTAATATTTTGAAAAGGAGCTTTTCAGGTAAGAGCCAGGGCATGTGTTTAAATCATAGATGCCTCTTTTACATAGAAAGCAATTTGCCTCTGTGTGTCAGTGTCTACATCCCTTGATTATGGAGCATGGCAGTGGAACAAATTAACAATTCATGAGCAGCTCTAGCCCTTTGTGTAATTTCAATTAACGTCACAGATTTGAAACAATTGCTGAGGGATAAGTTCTTTCTGTTTGAACTTTACGATGTTATTAATCTTGCATGATCATGACGATATCAAAGCGACCTGAGTGCTGGAATCTGTACTACTATTTCTTTACTTCCTTTTTTCTGCCTTTTTTTTTTTTTTTTTTTTTAGAAAGTTGTTCCCTGAGGCGTGTCGTGTTGAGCTGACACAGGAGATGATGCAGAAGGCAGATGTGGACCCCATTCTACGGCCAACAGAACTCACCATACCTCACATCAGGGCTTTAGCAGATGCCTACGCTCATCTCTGCACCCATGAGCCCAGTCTCATCAAATATGAGTTCAGGGAGGAGCTCAGAATGAAAAACCTCACAAAGCAAAGAAGAACACCAATGGGCACATTTAGTGACATGACAACTGGCACACCAGAGAGTCCTCAACAACCCTGCTGATAAAAAAAGAGCAAGGAAACCGAGAGAAGTCCACTAATAGCCCCTGTTAGCACAAGGAAACAACAGTCTGCTCTTAGCTGTGCCATTTCCACCTGGCACAAGCATGAATTTTTTAAATGTTGTTCCCTGCACTCAGGGAGTGAAAGGTAACTTGCTATATGTGAAATCCTTGGACTGAGCGAAGGAGCAAAAGGCGTATTCAAGGTCCTAAGTGTGGTGGATCAGCTCCAAGGCCTTGTTCCGGGATTTGGTGATTAAAAGCAGAGTCATATATTTTGGGGAGATAAAGAATGCATGCTCATTACCCACAGTGGCTCTCAAAGAGTTTCTTTTTATGTCCCAATTCTTCCTTCAGTCCCAACTTGCATAACACCTTGTCCCGTGGGACCTGAAAGAAATGTCAGAATGTTTTCAGGGTGATTTAGAGAATGGGAACAACATGGTAGAGCAATATCCAGGGCATTTTCCTTTCACTATGAACTATATTGCGTAGCCATTTGGGAGACACGGCCTAAAGGGAGGAGAAAAGTGGTGGGAAATTGTGAGCTTTGAAAGACGCTTCTCTGACTTATCTTCAAGGAAGGTAACCAACAGTGTATTCCTTAATTTAAAAAAAGATCATTAATACTCAGTTGGCAATTGAGACAAATGAAATCAAGCCAGTGACTTAAAAAAAAATGTGTTCACGTTTGTTGTATTTAAAATAAAACATGTTTGTTACAAAAAAAAAAACACCGTTGTTTTGTTATTTCATTTTTCATGTCAATAAAAGTGTTATTCCAAGTTCTAAATTTCCCTCTTTGAATGCTGGAACAGATTTTTACCAGCAGAAACCGGGCAGGCTGTTGCCTGCCAGTGTGGCAGATGGTATGCTAAGGTTGACTTGCCAAGGAGAGATCTCACTCAGTTTCAGTGATCAGTGGGTGTTAATCTCCAACCACAATCAGGGTTTCATCAGATCGACATGGCAGATAGGTTTGTGGGGCTGCAATATCTGCGACCAGTATACTTTGTGTTCTCCAGAATGCTCAGTTACTCCAAATGTGTATAATGTCGCAGCCATAATTATTTAAACACACTAATTTTAAACTTTCTATTTGCAATATAATGAATTGAATAGCTTTTATTTCGGGGAGTTATTGTACACATTGCAAGTGAATGACGTCACGCAGAAGGGAACGTTAATTGCCACTGATGAGCTACACCTGCGCAGCACCAGATATAATGAGATAACCTGCATGATAACTGTTACTGTTAAAACTCATATTTTACCTCTAAAGATGTTTCTGTTTGTCAATATTTGCTGGAGGAGACATGCTAACTGTTTTCAATTAAGTTTGTACTATAACCGACTCAAGTGCTAAAGCTAAGGTGAGTCAGAACTACACAAGAGATGCCTCGTTTTATTCTAAACTGGTTACATGAGCTCAGACTTTGTTTGGTTTTCAGATGATTTTCTTTTTTACGAAAGCATTCTATTTATATTGAACTTTCGTTGCTACTTGAAAATACACCAGTTTCTGTAATGCGGCTGCGCTCCAATATTTCCAATATGAAAAAAACAAAGTTAACGACTCTGTTAAAAAAAAAGTAGTTCTGCAATATTAATGTTATATTAGCAAGAGTATGTAGTAACCTGAACAGGTCGATAATTATTTAAACACACGTATTTAAAACTTTCTATTTGCAATATAATGAAAGATGTAGCCTACTATGTTACATTGAGAAAGTAAAACACATTATTTTAACAGTAGCCTAGAATAACTTAGAGGCTATTTGATGATTCATCGTGCATGCTCGGGTGACATGCAACAATCCTCTATGTCTTGATGTAACAAAATTAAAAGCTCTCCTTTTTCTGTCCACTGGAGTGCAACAAAGTGTTCAAGTTGTGCATGGCAGCTGTTTGTAAAAAGTGTCTCTTAATCCTTATTTCACTCGAGACACATGCGTTTAATTGAGTTTGCTAAAATACAAAAGTCAGAAAAGAGTTTTGCTGCTACTGCTGAAGTGGTATGGCCAGGAGGTTGTAGTGACTTCAATACATGAGAAATGTTATCTGTTTTGTTAGGCTTTCATAACTGAGTCGTGATATTATACTAAATATTTGTGTAAGTATCATGAGTGTGGTTCCAAAGTGGAGGCAGATGGTTAAGCCATGCATATTGAACTATTACTTAAAGGGGAAATTAGTGAGAATTAAGATATCCTATACATAGATTTGTTTTCCATTCGCTACATAAGTTATGTAGATTCTTAACATACTCTCTATCCCAACACCTGTCTTGGTTAATTTCACACATCTGTGTATAAAGTGGAAGAGAGCGTCATAGCTTTCTCTAAGTCTTTCTTCATGTTACTGTGCCCCACTTCTGTCAGATAATTGTGTATTCTATTGAGGATATACCTTCTTTTTTTCAAATGCCGGGATATTGTATTCTGTGATTTGTATGACAGCTAATCAGGGACTTGTGGAAAGTCTGGCCAAGGGACCAAGCCTGAGCTAAGTCACTTGCTTCCCAGCACTGCTTTACCTGTCAATAGTGAATAAAGCTTTATGAACCTCAGCCGACAGCTGAACTGAAATTTCAAAGCACTTTTACCAAGGTGTCATTCACAGATAAAACTTTTATTTATAAAACAATTCCATAAGAAAGGGCCATTCACATTCATTGGTATTCTAGCATTAAAGGCATGGTAAGTTGAGCTGAGCAGGAAAAGAACGTGGTTGTGAATTGCCTTTGTGTAGTACCTCAACATGTACTTTATGCTGCGGCAAACAAACTGTTGTACAAAAATACCGGCTGCATTTATTGCAAACTCCTTCATTGTTTCTAACCTGTACAGTGTCAAGTATGTAGAAGAGAGTACAATAATGTTCCAAAAAGTAGAAAATGTTATATACACAAGACACAGACAAAAGAGGAACACCAGGGTTCAAACATGATTGCTGTTTAAATCAGTTATTTTCCAGAGCATATACAGGAAATTACAATCTTCAGTAAACCAAAACCAAAGTCCAGGCAGGCTACATTTAAAAATGTGGATGACTCATCAAGCTGTTTTTTATTTTATGTACTAATGGACCAAATCTTTAGCCAATGGCTCAAGCCTCCACTCCAAAAAGTTTTTTTTTTCTAATATAACCATAATCAAAGTATTAATAAATAAAACAGCATTAATTACATTAAAACCTGTACAAATACAAAATATGTCAAATATATAGGCAAACAGTGTACTTTAGTGCACAAAATACAGCAAAAAGGCTTCTTTGCAAGTCAGCATCCCGCCTGTTTGTTTAGGCTCTCCTCGCAAGTCTGACCTGACCCCGGTGACGTTTTGGCTCAATGTTATCAGTCTGTGACAGCCTCAGTGCAGCCTTCTTTTATTCCACTGGAAACAAAATGTTTTTCGTATAGAGCAGTGACCTGATGTGTTTGGTTCTGTGAACACCAAATAAAAATGAATACTTTATTAAGACTGAACTCAAAATTCCCCTCCATGTGTGAGCCTGTTGCATGCTAACTGAGACGCAGCTTGTTTGATGTTGCCAAATACAAAACTAAAAATACATTTCTTGACTGAATTTGGTGGCCTTCAATGCACTGTAACCTTCCTCCTCTTAAGACTGACAGACCAAGGGTGTTTTCCCCCATTTCTTCAAAGAAAAGGTCAAAAATGTAATAAAAACTGCCAATCAGTATGCACTGCAGGGCAAACTGGGATGGAATACGTCACTCAGAGGGTTTGTTGACAGGAGAGCTGAGGAGACTATGGGTAATGCATCAGTGCTTGGTAGATTCATGCAGTCATTATCACTAGGACAGAAGTCACCTCACTTTGCCTTTCTAGGGTGAGAAACTGTATGTCAGCCAATAGGCTTCCATTAAAACTGATCATTTATACCTATCTTTTAGCAGGCAAGTATATGGCTAATCGACTTGTTGAGGCACAACTTCACAGCTACCCTCATAAACCCCTTTAATCAGCCACAGGGTTTCCTTTTCTTAAGAAGTAGTCAGCATATCTAACATTAACTTCCATTTACTTGCTACTGTGGTAGAGTATAGTTGTTCTATGAGGAGGTGGTATTTCCAGATTTAGTGGCACAGCTCTCATCTTGGTCATAGAAACAGTCTTCATTCACAACAGAAGTCAGACTTTGGACACTGAACTCTCTCTCCAGCAACGTGTTGAGGTCCACTCCCCCTGAAGGCAGTGCTGTATCCGTCTGGCTGTCCAGTGACCTGCTGTGGGTCTTCATGTTCAAAAGCGCACCCTGACTTCTCCTGAAACTGCTGGGTTTCCTCTTAACAGCACTGAAATGTCCTCGCATCAGTTTGTGCTGGGTCTCCGGAGTGTCCCCCACTCTCTCAGGTTCAACACATGGAGCAAGTGGACATTTGGACACAGCCTCCTCTGACAGTGTTAGTTGGATGAACTGAGCCTCAATAGCGCTAGTAGGGGAAATTATGTCTCCACTGTCCCTCCTTGGTCCCCCTCGCCAAAGCCATCATCGTCCTCATCACTAAGAATATCAGACTCTTTCACAGCAGAGGCGGAGCAGGGTTGTGAGTTTGATCCAGGCGTCTGAGACACGTTCTGCTGGACTGAGGCGGTACTGAAGTCGGAGGAGGTGCATGGTAGAGGAGCACCAGACGAACTGTGTGTTCCACTGCTCAGGCTTCCCTCGTCAGAGTCTGGCCCCAGCTTGAGATTCCCAGCCTGCGTGGAGAGATCTCCAAGTGGCTGTTTGCACAACCAGGAAGCCCTGGAGGAACCTGCGAACAAATGCAAGGATGGGAGTCAGAAATGCAATTCTTATCTGAACACAACACTTGCACCACAAGGCCCTTTAGCATCTTGTGACCTAAAAAATAAAGATATAATCATATTCCATCTCATGCATACAAAGCATTACGCAGTTTATGACTTTTAAGCACAAACAAACCAAAATGATAAACACTCCCATGCCCTATGTGGAGATGTTTTTATAGGAAATGTTCCGAGTAATTAGTGCTTGATAGTTAGAATAAGTTTCAACCATGGTCTAAGGTCTTTTTTCAATTTTTTTTTTTTTTTTATCAAAATGAATGTTCACCTAGCCGGGCAGAGGAGGGCAGGGTGCTGCGCAGGGGGGCCAGACGCTCCTTGCAGCCCCTCTCCAGCGTGCCCTCGCTCCTCATGTTTCTCCTCACGTTCTCTCGGAGGATGGAGCGGATCACCTTGATGATGTTGACCTTGCTCTCAGGCACACTGAGGAGGACACAGAAGAGGAACCATAGTAACATGAGCACAGGGTATGATGAACTTGATTTCAATGGCTAAATATAGAATAAGGGGGTTGGCGAGAGAGTCCCATTATGTCCCTGGTGAAAAGGGTAATTAAATTCATTAGGACTGATCCCAATTTCATGCTGCTATGAGAATGACCAATTTGGTTACAGGCTTTAGTCTCACCAGTATTCCCTTGCAGACAGTTTTAATACACATAAATGCTAAAACAATAAAAGCATATATAACATCCATTGGAAGACAATCGCAAACTGATAACTACTAAATTAAGTATTATTGGGGGACCACACTTAAAAAACTAAGATCATTTACTTTGTGGCCAAAATGAGAAGTTTGATTTTAGGGCGGAGACAACATGATGACAGAGGTCTCATTGGATATACCATCAACATATTTCTTAAGCAATGCACAAG